CAAAAAAAAAAAAAAAAAAAAAAAGAAATTCATGTCTGTCTGCCATGGCAGTAGACACCTTTAATCCCAGCACCGCAGAGGTGGAAGCAGGCAGATCTCTATGAGTTCTAATCCAGACTGGTCTACACTGTGACTTCCTGGCCAGCCAAGGCTACATAGTGAGACTCTGTCTCATCAAAGAATCCACATTTAAAAATGATCTATTTAAGGACAGGAGAGCTGGTCAGGGATTTAGAGCACTAGCTACTCTTGCTGGGTTTGGCTCCCAGCACCCAGATGGTAACTCACAACCCAACCTTCTCTAACTCTAGTTTCAGGGGATTTGATGCCCTGTTCTGGCCTTCTCAGGCACTAGGTGTACAGACACACATGTAGAAAAGCACACCTAAATTATATGCACACGTGTATCTTTGAGTGTGTGTGCTCATGCCCAGGGAGGTGTGAGGGATGTTGCGATCCTGGAGGCAGAGCTACAGGCAGTGTGTGATTTGTCCAGTGTGGGTGCTGGGAATCAAATTCTGGTCCTCTGTAAGCAGTAATTGTTCTTCACTGCTGAGCCATCACTCTGTAACCTGATCTGTGTCTGTGAACTGCAGCATTGAGACCACTCATAGTCAGAGCCATTCTTAATAGGTACGTGCTTTCCTACTTTGCGGTCTGTATTGTTTGGTGATGTCCCATTCCTCCCCCTTAACTAAGACTACAGTGTAGCTTTGCAGTGTTTCTCGCTTACTCTGTAGTACAGGACTCCATCTTTCACATGTGTTCTGGAGAGCTGGTCTAAGGCTCAGCAGCTCTGGCCCTGCCCTTGTCAGGACTCCGTTTCAATTCTGGTGCCTTTAGTGCAACTGAGTGCAACCCATTTATCACAACACAACGCAGCAAGGATCTTTTCTGCTTTAACTATCAACAACGCCTTCTCTACCCTGGAATGACTTTCTTCTCCCAAGTTCATGGTTGGACATGGTCTTATCACTGTGCCCCAGACTTGTCTGTGGCACTGCTGCTGCCGACTGACTATCCAGGCAAATTCCTCTATCATGATTCTAGGTCTTGGCCTTGTCTTGAGTCACCCTATTGGTGTGGCTTCCCAAAGAGCTTTTTACTGACTTACTGTGATCTTCAGTAACAGGCTTTCTTTTCTTTTTTGGGTTTCAAGATATGGTTTCTCTCTGTAGCCCTGGCTATCCTACAACTCTCTGTAGACCAGGCTGGTCTCACTCAGAGATCCGCCTGCCTCTGCCTCTGGAGTGCTGGGGTTAAAGGCGTGCGCCACCATTGCGGAACTGTGCTGAGACTTTTGCATGTGGGGCTACACTGTTTATCTATAAATCACCTTTACCCTTTCTGAGGGGGCATCTGCAATGCCCAAGCAGGCTGCTGTAGGGCTGAGGTACCGCCTTCTCCTATGATACTTCTTTCATTTCCTAGTGCTTCTCTGGAATTAAAGGAATACCTGCAAGCACTCACTGCCAAAGGGCAGGCAGGCAGGAAGCACGAGACACACCCACGTAATGCATTCCTAGGACACAGGTAAGAACCTGGCACACGAATGAAAACCTATTTAAAGTCAAACCTGCACTGTTTCTAAACCACACACAGGTGTAAACTGATACATAAAAGAAAAAGGCAAACAAGCAAATAAACCTCAAGACAACACAACAACACCCACCCACCACCACCAAACTCAAAGTGTTTTGGAAATCATATAAACTCTCATTATTGAATGCCGGATGTTGGCACGTTCAAGAAATGAAAAGGTGAGAAGCGACCAGGGTGCGGCCAGGCAGCACAGCGGTGTGGACATGTCGAGGCACTTGCCAGTATGCCTGCTGAACGTGCAGGGGTGAAGGAAGACCTTACAGACATTCAGTAGACTCATGGGAAAGGAGGGTCCCCAGGGCTAGGGAATGGCTTAGTTAGGCTGCTACAGGGATGACAACAGGCAGGGAAGGCACACAGGAGGCTCTCTGGAGATTACAGGCAGGTCAAGCTAGCTGAAAAATGGCTAGGCCCAGGTTCAGTAAGAGACCCCGAGTTAAAGGAGGGGTGTCCAGAAAATAGGGAAAATCCCAGGTCAGGTATAATAGCTAGTAAATGCTTGTAAATCTAACAGTTGGGAACTGAGGCAGGAGAGTGATCTCAAGCTGGAGCCCAGCTGCACACAGAGAGTTCAAGGCCAGCCTGGTCCACTGTAAGATCTTAAAATTCCTAAAATACAGCCTGGTACTGCATCCCTTTAATCCCAGCACTTGGGAGGCAGAGGCAGGTGGATTTCTTAGTTCGAGGCCAGCCTGGTGGTCTACAGAGCCAGTTCCAGGACAGCCAGGGCTACACAGAGAAACCCTCTCTTGAAAAACAAAAACTAAAGTATCCTAAAACACTTGTAGCAGGAGGTGGTGGAATACACCTTTCATCCCAGCACTTAGGAGGCAGAGACAGGCAGGCAACTGAGGTTTGAAACCAGCCTGGTACAAAAAACAAAAACAAAGAAAACAACCCAAAACAAACAAACAAACAAACAAACACTTGTAGAACTAGATACAGAAGATAAAGAAGTTAGTAACATAAACTATAACGACATGTGTTTTAAAGGTAAGTAATGCAAGGCTTCTCGCACAAAGCTCTGGACGCAGAAACTCATGGACCTGACTTCAGGGCAGCCGCAGCAAGGCCACACACGGCATAGAGATGCCACCACTCGGACACACAGGGCATATAGAGATGCCACCACTCAGACACACAGGGCATATAGAGATGCCACCACTCGGACAAACAGGGCATATAGAGATGCCACCACTCGGACACACAGGGCATATAGAGATGCCACCACTCAGACACACAGGGCATATAGAGATGCTACCACTCGGACAGGTGCGGGGGCGGGTTGATTTTTTCCCACATGATACTTTCATAAATATATCAACCTTTCCAACAGCGTACCAGAGTGCCCTCCCCTGTCACCTCAGTGCCAGCACTGGAGGTCTGAGGCGGTGTGACTTACCACCCAGCAGGCATTCCCAAGGTCAGCAATCTTCACTTTGAGCTTTTCTGCATTTTTTGGCTCAAGGGGATTGATAAGAAAACTTCCAGCAGAGAATTTTCCTACAGACAACAGCCATTATCAATAAGAGTTTAAATGAACACAAGATACCCTAAGGACAACCTACGTCTCCAGGGTGAGCTTCAGTCAGCCCCCCAACCCTAGGCAACCTCTAATGAAGCTTCCTAAGTAAGGCTCCAGTTTCTAGAGTACAAAGTCCCTCCGGAATGCTGGCTGAACAGCATTTAGAGTTATCCACAGATTAACTCAGGGGTAGAGTTCCTGCCCAGAGTACAGAGTCTGCCCACCCCATCCCCACCCACCACTGTAAATAATAACACCTCTCTCCCAACCCAAAAACCAAACCAGACACCAGCCAGGAAAATGCAGTTTCACAAAAACCTTGGCAGTCGTTTGTCTGGAAATTAAGAGCACGATGCAGGGAAGAGCCAGGGAGGCCTCTGTGGTACCTTTGCTGTCCAGTGCTCCATTGTGCTCCTGCTCCTGCTCATCCCCAGAAGGTGTATCCGCCCGAATGCTCTCCTGGAGGTGGGTGATGTCCTGGCGGGTGAGTGACTGCTCTACAGAGGACTGGCACAGCATGGTCTCAGGTACCTCAGAGGCCGTAGCTGTGCAAGAGTCTGTTTCTTGAGACGGACTGCTGCTGTCTCCATCTGGAGAGTTTGAGAAGCTAGATTCCTGCTTCAAAGTGTGGACATCACAGTCATTAGCATTATGCAGGTCCTCTTTAAGCCTCAGTGTCTCATTATCACTGTTCTCAGTGTAATTAATGACTCCAATCACTCCATTGCAATTAACTTCCGGGGCACCACCCTCTCCACCAGGCTCCGTGAGTGTCTGATCCTGGGCAATGGAACGTGACTCTTCTAAGGAACAAACAGAGAAGGATGCATGTGTGTATGTTCTGGTGAACAACAGGACAATCCTCACACGACCAAACCATCCTCTAGAGCTCATACGGAGCGGCAGAAAACCAAGACTAACACAACAGCCCTCTAACACCTCCTGACGGATGGACAAGACCTCATCTTTCCCCAATGCTACAGTCTACCTCCACTTGTGAGGGGAAAGCAACCAGTTACACTGCAGTATCCACCACTGCCTCCATTAGAGCAAGTGAAACCTCTCAGGACACCCCCAGAGATGAGCTGCATACATGAAAGCAAACATCACAAACAAGATAACCCAGTGTCAAGTGTGCCATCAAGTCATTGCTGCAATGCTCTGTTATACCAAGGTTCTCTTGGGTCAGTTTATTAGATGGGTTCTCAGTCAAGGGTCTTTCAACAGGACTCTCTGATTCTTCTTGCTTGTTAGGTCTTTTTTGCCCAGGGCCCGACTCTTTCTCCATTTCCTCAATTTCCTGCATTCGCTTCTCTAGTAATTCTGCCTGGCGCTTCTGCTTCTTCTTCAATTTCTTCTTCTTATTCTTTGACATTTTGTCAGCCTGGGCGGAGATTACAAACAGATAAAGCCTTCAGGTGGCTAATCCATTACCACTGGTTGGAGACAACTGTTAACTTTAATTATTTCCTAATTAAATTCCACTTTTTCCCTAGTATTTCATTAATGTAAAACCAGCAGATTTTCTATGAAACTGAGTAAAAAGGACATTAACAACAGGTCTCCATCTTCTGCGGTCTGTGGTTACTCAGACACCTCTATTACGGAAGCCTCATCAGTACAAACTTGGAGACACGATGAAATTTTTTGGAGAAAAATCACAGAAGCGCAGGAAATAGTCTTTTTGTTTGGCTTCCAAACTCTAAACAAGCTATGACCTCCACATCACACCCGTGCCCAGCGCCCAGCGCCCAGCGCAGAAGTGAACACAGAAGCACTGTGTGCTCATACTTACTGGCTTAGGTTGTGGAGCAGTGCTGACTGGAAAGAAAGGAGACAAAGCAGGTGAGTGCTGGAGGCAGACAGGAGGCAGGCTCGGAAAGACACTGCCAGACGGAGGGGCATCCCCACAGCCTACATTCTCTAAGTGACACCCAGGGAGCTGCATTATTTTTAAAGAAAACAATCGTATAAAGAAAGTGGCCAAACATTAAGTGGTTTTATGTTTTAAAGACAGGGTCTCACTATATGGACCTGGCTGGCCTCAAACTCAGAATCACTTGCCTCTGCTGAAATCAGACACCTGCCATCCTGTCCAGCTGAGCAACAGCTTTAAAGACGGAAATGTTCTCTCCACAGTGCCGTCTGTCAGAGCCGTTTCTATGGGCCTCAGCAGATGCTCAACATGCCAGCACCCCGGATTCCCATACACAAGCACCCCGGATCCCCATCCCTCCACACTTCCATTTAGCACTGTAGAGTACAGCTACTGCGTGGCGTTGTGCACACTGGATATATGTCAAGGATGGAGAACAACTCTGTGGGTTCTGGGGATCAAACTCTGCTCACCACAAATGCCTTTACCTGCTAGCTCACTGTCAGCTGTAAAGGGTAAGCTAGGTGACATCAAAAGCTAAACAGTCACCGTATGACATGTTTGGGGAACAGTTTAGCTTACATGTTCATCTCCCCTCCTAAAGCACTTGTAACTGTGGTTGAAAGCATGATATAAAACCCATCCTCTTCTCATCTTACAAAACTGAACCCCAGTCAACAATTTTCACCACCATTTTGTTCTTCCTTTCAATGAAGTGTCAAGAAAAGTCTTCAAATACAATTAGAACTACAATAACTGAAGGTCTGCACTGCGTGTGGAAAGCAGCCCAAGCAGCCATCACAACTACTGAGCATAGCTCTGTGGCACTCCTCCACCTGGCTGCAACAACAGAAATCCAACTCCCACAGTTCCTGTCTAAGTGGGCCAAGGTCTGCTTCATGAAGGCAATCCAGCAGCGCTCCCTGGCAGTGAGCATGTGTGAGCACAGAGGCAACTACATGGCCAGCTACCCAGGGAGCACCCAGTGTCGCACACGGTTACAATCAAGGCACCTGGGAGACGAAGGCAGAAAGATAAGGAGTTCAAATTCAGCCTGGCCTACTGTATAAGAAGACTCATCCTAAAAAATTAAAATGAAGGTCAGAAACCTGGTTTAGCAGGTGAAGACAGGTGCTGTCTAAGTACCTGGGTCTGATCCCTCCTAGGACCCACACAGTAGAGAGAACTCACTCCTGAAAGTTGTCCTAACATCCACATATACAAATCCGCATGCCCCTACATAGAAACTCAATACAAATGTAAAAGCCCGTCAAATAAAAACACTTTAAAACAACCGTGTAAGTCAGCAATTTTACTATATCAAATACTCTTATCTAAAAAAATAACTGCTCATTTTCTTCCCATTTGGAAGGTACTGGTCTCTTAATGTTGCTACCATCTCTACAGTATCTTACCAGTGAGTATTATTCTGTTGTCTTGTGACCAAATGAAAACAAATTCCTAAGGGTCTGACTCAAGCGAAGCCCCCATGTACCTGCAGACCCCGATGGTGGGGGAGCTCCAGACCGTTGCCACTCTGTGGCCTCTGCAGCCAGCCTCCGAATGTACTGCTCATTCACAGACAACAAGATGTTTTCTGGTTTGATGTCAGTGTGGATGATCCGGCACTTGGTGTGTAAATAATCCAGACCCTGTAGCACCTAAACGGACACAGAACAGGAACCTCCTTAATACAAGACCCAAGCCTGCTGGCAAAGGACGAGATCACACGTTTCCTAAGGGGGGCCCAGCAGTTAAGAGCATTGGCTCTTCTTCTACAAGACCCAGGCTCAATTCCCAGCAACTATATGACAGCTCACAACCACCTTAAACTCCACCTTAAGGGAGCGCTCACCTGGTCTCTACCTATGTGATGCAGGCACGGAGGCCAGACACCACACACAGGAGAATAAAAACAAGACACAAAAACAAAAGTCACAATGCCAAGCTTCTGTGTCTCCACACTCACAGGCGATTTCCAAGTGAGTCACTTCCCAGCCCTAATCCTTAGTGTCTATTCTGTCAGGAAGAGGAGACACTTGACATTTTTATATAAAGATACCATAAGCCAGGTGTAGTGGTGAAACCCTTTAATCCCAGCACTCAGGAGGCAGAAGCAAGCAGCATGGTCTACACAGCATAGTCAGATGCTTCTCAAAGAGCCAGCAATGGGGGTGGGGGTGGGGTCCCACACAGCAGTGACCAACATACATACTTGCTGAATAATTTTTTTGACACAAGGCAGTGGAAGCCCCTGATAGTTGGATTTGATGATCCACTTGAGTAGATGATGCCCCAAAACTTCAAACACCATGCAGATATCTACGAGTTCATTAAGGAAAACGGGGAGCAAGAAACCAGGTAAAGGGTAGACGTCAGCACAGTAAGAGTCTTTCAGTCACAAAACTACTTTAAAAAGCCGTCAGCAATGACAGTATATAATCAGGGACACACATCAGAAGATGGCGAGGTCAGTTTATGACTAATTATATGCATTTAATATACATACACATTCGTACATCAGATGGTGAAAGCAAGGACCAGTCTGGTTGTGCAAACAGACCCAGGTTCAAGGGCTGAGGAGATCCAGGCTCTTCTTAGAATAACTGGGGTAACGCCCACTCTCATAGGCTCAAAATGAAGAACAAAGGCAAGATACAAAACTTAACAGAAAGGGGAAGGTGGCAACACGTTTTTCTTTGTCTGCAGAGAAGTGGGACACACCTTGTGTCTGTAAGTGCCTCAGCCCGGGGCTAGCCCTCCCTGACACTTTTAAAACCACAGCTCAGCCTTGCGCTGCCTACCCACAGCTTCACAGGCCGGAGCTCGGAGCTGCAGGCCTAGCCTGCTAAAAGGAAGCCTAGGCTCCCTGAGAAGATGGCCATGGAACAACTGAGGAGCAACAGGAAGCATCTTGCTGTTGCTAACAGGACCAGGACCATGCTCCTATGTGGCCCAGACTGCCTTGAACGGGGCTGGGTGGAGAAGCACCAGCACTCTGCAGGACATTCTAAGTGCACGTACCACTTTCAGATGAAAGTTACCAGACACAGAGTTCGAGGAGAGGCAGCACACGTTTACTAGAGAATGTCAAAGCCAAGTAATAAACATCCATCGTGTGAGAACACAGCATCTGTGGACTCAGCCTCCTGGGGGACCTGCAGGCAACCTACTAGACCAGTGTCGTACAAAGCATGTCACCTCCACAGCAGGCAGCATCTCAGTGACAAGCCTGATGAATCCACTCGCTTCGTGTGTTGATTCAGTGTGATAGACAACACACGTCCCTCACAGTACCCAAGTGAAGGGATCCAACATGTGGGCTCTATCTGCCCAATTCAAACAGACAAACCTAAACAGATAGTGGGCGCTGGGTGACAAGGGCAGTCCTTCAGGAGGAAGGTCCTGAGACTCTGTGAGTTGTGAATCCACAAGTCCCAGGCGGCAACAACAGAGAGAACAAGGTACCAAAGGGGAAGCTAGACTGCCGTGGTGGATACTTGCCGATGTCCCCTCAAGTATGCAAGAGAGTACAAGCACCCTAGAGAGGAAACCACAGGCAGAGTCATCAGAAGTACGGGACGGGAGGAGGACGGTAACCAGCTTCCGCTCAAGAGCTGCAGCACCGTTCCCACCAAAACAACAAAACAAAACCCAGAGAAATTCAGTCACAAGGTCCTGGGTAGAACACTTGGGAAGGTCTTGATGGAGTATCAAGGGGAATGGTCACTTCTGGGCCAACCCTGTCTCTGGCCCAATCATAAAAGCAAACCTTGAAAGGATAAAACTACTCTGCAAGTAACACAACTACATCCTAGAGTAAGTCCCAAAGCTTTGTAGGACTGTCAAGTGTGTAGCACATACCGGGAAACAAGATGCAGGAAAACAACAGAACTGGAGCAGAGACCACTAGCAGGAACCTGACCTCAGACTAACCCAGAACCAGAGAGGCTAGAATCGGCGGACAAAGCTATGAGAAGGTAAAGTTCAAACACTGTGTCTGGAACCCTAGCACTCAGGCGGAAGCAGGATTGGAAGCTAGGAGTAAGCATAAGAGGGACTGCTCAAAAGAGAAAAAGTTAAATAACAAATGGTGTTAACAGGTTAGCTCCAGCATGAGTGTAAAGACACCAGCTCCTAAGATGCACAGGCCAGGAGGTGGGAAGAGAAGGCTGGACTAGAAAGGAGGCTAAAATGAAAACAGAGCAACTGCAGGCCTGCACCTGGTTTGTGAGGAGCTGAGCATAGGACTGTATCCGCAGAGACAGAGTGTCAGCCAGATTCACTGTGATAGGGACACACTGCAGCCTTGTGAGGTCTGAAGGACTGGATACAGCATAAAGAAGAGGAAAAGGGTCAAACTGAGGTCAAACATGACTGCACTTCCAGGGTACAGCAGTGGCTTTGTGTCCGAGTCTCTGATTCTCACTGCCAGGTCGCTGAGCACTTTCCAAGAAACAGAGATGAACTATTACTACAGCTCTAATAGTAAACAGAAGGCAGGGGATAGCTAGGGGCTGTCAGGTGAGAGCCCTCAAATCCACACCAGGAAGGACAGCTGTTCCTCAGAGGGTCCCTGCCTGCACAGGACAGAAAGCCTGGCTTCTAAGTGCTCCACAAACTCCAAGCAGCAGAAATGCTCGAGGGCTCAGGTCTCAGCAAGGGCAGAGGAAGCATGGCTAAACCATCATTCTCCTGAGAAATAGGCAGAGAAAAACACAGAAGCTCTGTTCGCATGGAGATAGCCACAATTCCTACGAAGTTGACTCTGGTTTTTTGAATGGGACTGGCCTCGGCAGGCTCAGGCAGGGAAGGATGAGGTGCGGCCTAGTTAAAGGGTGAGTCATGGGGAGGGCTCTGGGCTTCAAAAGCTCACACCAGGCAGGCCCAGTGTCTTCCTTTGCCCGACACCCAAGGCCCGGGGTGTCAAGGTCTCAGCTCTCCACACCATGCTGGTCTCCACACTCCATCATGAGAACGGACTGAGTCTCTGACACCTTGGCCTACGGAGGTGAGAGATGAACAGATAGAACCCAGTCATGGGATACAGGAGTTATCCTGGAAAGGCCTGTAATGGTTTCCAACACCAGATACACCCCTGATGGGGAGCTGAGATTTCATCACACACAAACACAGGCTGGTACTAGCCAATTAACAAGAGGGGCTGTGTTTGGATGGCACTGAAGTGTCTAGAGGTCACCCGTCATGGTTAAGTTCTATGTGAGAATCACAATTTACTCATTCTAAGTCTGGTTTCCACGCGCAGGTTCGCCTCACTTTCCTGTACCAATCCCTAGTGGGCTGAGGCGGCTAGTGGTTTTGGTGGCTGTTTCTCAGGGATAAGCACTTCTGTGTTCCAGAAGACAGCAGCGTATTGTAAGAGTGTCCTGAAATGCGGGACACATGTTTACTGACCCCCGACAGGTCAGTCAGGCTTCCTAATGGAAGAGCTGTAAGTGTGCTGCTCGGCACCTTGTGTCAGTGGCTCACGAGGTGACTGTGCGCTGTGACCTCACAGCGGTCAGCCGTCACGGTGGGGGCTGGGCACTTCTTTTGGATTTTGTTGGAGCAGACACCTCAACGTCAGGGAACAGTTTTGCAAACTTATTTATTTACTATGTATATAGCATTCTGCCTGTAGGCCAGAAGAGGGCACCAGATCCCGTTACAGATGGTTGTGAGCCACCACATGGTTGCTGGGAATTGAACTCAGGACCTCAGGAAGAACAGCCAATGCTCTTAACCTCTGAGCCATCTCTTTACCCCCCCTTTTTAAACCTATCTTTTCTGATCAGGTTAAATCTAGAAGATGTGAGACTGTACTTTTACTGTTAGTTTCTTTGGAGGTAAGCAATAGTAATAGAAGGGAAAAAAAAAAACCTAAAAGGTTGAAAGGTCTGTGTCAAGGGAGCTTGAATTGTGAATTAGCTGCTTTGGGCTTTCCAGACACTCAATGGCTTAGGGCTGCAGACACTTGACACCAAGCCTGCATTCAATCCCCAGTTCCCATATGGTGACCACTTTTGACCTCTGTTAAGTATGCCATGACATTTATGAATAGAGTTTAAAGTTAACTAGGTTCCGTAGGCATAGTGACTGCGTAAGAGCTACCTGCTAATTTCACAGAGATGGGGTGTATGCTACTATGTATAACTGCCTGAGGGGCTGGAGGGATGCCTCAATAGTGAAGAGCACAGGGTGTTTTTCTAGGACATGGATTGACTTCTAGGTCCTACAAGGCAGGCCACGGCCTTTTGTACCTCTAGTTTCAAGGTATCCAACACCCTTTTCTGGTCTCCATGGGCGCCACACTATGTGCACGTAAAACCAGACACAACACTCATACACATTAAATGGATGCAGAGGTACACAGGGACAGAGGGCCCGCCCATCAACACCCAGAGCCGCATTCCTGCCCTAGTGGATGCTGAGCCAACAGTTTCAGAGTCCGATCTCAGCATATTACTGTTACTGCCGCTGTGAGTACAGCCGGCCACGCACACCTGCCCAATAAGAAAATCAAAGTCTCTTCCAACTCTAAGACCTAAATTTAGATTGTTTACATAAGTAAACAATCACTCCATTTAAATTCTTTTTAAAGTATTTATCTTACTTTATGTGCATGTTGTATTCCCTAAACTTATGTATGTGCTCATGAGTGTATAGCACCCAAGGAAAGACGAGGATGTCAGATCTCCTGGCGCTGAGGTTACAGATGGTTTTGATCCAGCCTGGGGGTGCTGGAAACTGACCCCAGAACTTCCTGAAGAGCAGTAAGTAGCTCTAACACCTGCCCCTTCTCAAGCCCCCATGTAAGTTCTAAACAGAACAGATATAACCAGCTCACTCTCTTCACTACTGAGGCCTGGGAAGTAATGCATGAGAAGCACCCTAAAAATCGCACAGCCATTACTGTTCATGAAAACACGCCTTGATGCCAGGCAGGATGGGTCACATTGGTATCCCCAGGCCTGGGGAGAAAGAAGCAAGAGGACTCCATCTGAGACTAGCTTGGACTACATAGTAAATTCAAAGTCAGCCTGGGCTACATGGGAAGTTCCTGTCTCCTTATCTTTTGTTATCAAAAACAAACAAAAACCAAAACCAAGTACTTCTCTTAAAGTTTCTGTGCTCATCTATAAATATTATAAGACCTTTATTCTTTTTTTGTTTTGTTTTTTGAGAAGATTTTGATGTTATTAAAAAGGGTCACTGACTGGAATAATACTCTAAGAGGATACAAAACAAATATAGAGGCAATCCACACCTGTGTGTCAAGGCACAAAATAAAAACATTATGTTATTACTGTTTACCTTGAACAGAGACACAGGCAGCATCTTTCTCTGGTAATAATTACTTTATGATGAATTGAGGGTCATCTGGTAAGGTGACTTGGTGGGTCTAAGTACTTGCTGATCAAGCATGACGATCTGAGCTCCATCCCCACAGCCCAGGACGCACGGACGCATGAACACATACACCACAGAAAACAGGGCTGAAGAGATAGCTCAGCAACTGGTAGCACTGAGAGAAGCTGGGTCCAACGCCCAGCACCCGCGGAACCTCACTTCCCAGTTAACTGGTGGCCTTTTCTGCTCTCTGCACACACCGCATCCATGGGGTGCACACACATACATGAAGGCAACACATTCTTACACAGAGCTTAAAAAATAGTAACACTGAAAAGAAAGAACACAGTGGAGTTCTTAAAGGATACGTGTTCCATTAACGCCTGATATCTTAAAGTCATCCAGTAGCTGAACAACCATCTCTCCATTTGGATCAGTCGGGTCCGAGTTGCGAACCTGTGTTGGGGAGAAGCATGTTTAGCACAAGTGAAGCAACGCGGTTCCTCAGTCAAGGGGAGGAGCAGGCTGTCCGAGCCTCTTCCCCATACCACTGTTACAATTCACCATAAAACGGAAAAGAAGGGCTTTGGGTAAGATACACTTGTGTCTCAAGGTATAAACGGTCAATAATCAATTACACTATCTGTTCTAGGCCTGCAGTCCTCAACCTATGGGTTTCAGGCCTCGGGCAAACCTGTCTCCAAACATATTTACATTGTGATTCATGACAGCAGCAAAATTAGTCATGAAATAGAAACAAAAATAACTGCATGGCTGGGGAGGCTGAGAACCACCGCTCTAAGCTGTGTCTCCTTAGACGTCTCAACTATGTAGCCTTCAGTGGCCTTGAATTTGCGACATCAATCAGGTGGCTTCAGACTCTGAGATCCACATCTCTCTGCCTCCCAAGTTCTGGAACTAAAGGCACCCATGAACCACCATACCAGGCAGGCTACATTTTTACAAAATAAAGTAGGTATCACAAACTTACATTAACTTTTCTTTTGACCAGAGTATGAAAGGCATTCATGGCATTGTATGTGGCTCATAAAACATGCTCAATAAAGTTCTGCTTACTTGATAGTGTGTGTAGACTATAAGATAAATCTAGCCACTGAATACCCAATTCCTACAAGATGCAGGAAACATACAAATACCTCTATCTTCCTCTGAGCCTCTAAGCCTGCAGAAACTCTACTCTGTGATGCTGAGATCTAACACATGACCAGGGCACCACGTTCAAGGGTGAGCCCACACTCACCGATCTCAGCAGCCGGATCTCATCTAGGGCTGTTTCTGTGTAATGTTCGGCACTTTTAACTACTTTCATTGCTACAAACTTCTTTCCCCTAAAAAAGACAATTCAGATTAAATTATCTGACCTTACTTTCATAGTTAAGACTTAGTACTGAATGGAGACATTCCTTGCTACCCTGTGGCCAAATGGACACTATGCACTTAGGAGCAGTAGAAACCAGCTGGATGGAGCTAACAGATCCTGTACCTGGTAAACTCAGACACTGAACATCTTCTCTGAATTAAATGTCCACCTTCTGCCTATGGGGACAGGTAGAACTGTATACAACATGGTTAAGAAAATGGTATAGTAAAATAAATTTACATTGGTTGGTCTAATTACCTGGAAATTTAACACTATTCTAGTGCAAAGTCAATTCTGAGTTTCCATTATACACCACTAACTAATTAAACACTTGTGCAGCCTTGAGCTTGGCAGTTCCATGCACTTGGCTGACACTAACTTCGCCAGTCCCTGGCCTCTGAGGCAGAGAGCCAGAGATGTAACTGACAGAGGCTGAGGGACGTCAGTAGTGTAGCATTGGATACACAGTTAGGAACCCATGTCATAATGAAACCCATTATGTATAATTAGCATGTAAATGCTAACTGTTAAAAAATGTTTTTAAAAGGTCATCAGCCCAGAGACAGACCTAACCACCTCTTGAAGGTCAGACAGAACATCAAGGTCATCCCTCTCCTCCCAGGCCAAGTCCACTTACTGAATATCCCATGATAACCACACTGTGGAAAAGTGTCCCCAGCCCAATTTTCGAATCACATGGTATCTCCCGTTAAATAGATCTCCAATTTTCACAAGATGATAACCTCCTGAAAGAAATAGGGAAAGAGACAGCTAATGATGTGGTCAGAGGAACCAAGAGAAGGAGTCCCCTCCCCGCGCTCACCCTGCATCCTGTCTGTCAACACGGATGTACCATGTATTAAATATCCTCTTATAAGATCAGTTCAATGGGAGCCTCTTCCAGGGTCACTCAGCTAGCTCGGTGCAAGGAATGACTTGGGTGAGAAGTTACACCAGGTAAGTGATATTCTGGGTCAGCCTGTGGTCACAGGCTACCACACCGCTGGCCTCTCAAAACCTAACACGGCTGCTATCAAAACCAACCAATCTACACTTGTTATCTCAAAAATTCAGAGAGAAACAATGACCAATATGATTAAAGAGGTCTGTTATTCTCAATGTGGGTCAGCACGGTGAGTTCCTGGCCAGCCATAGTGACACTCATCCCCCAACCATCCCAAGAAAGAAAAAGAAGCAAACAGAAAGTCTGCCTCAGGTACACAGACTATGCATGTCAACCTTTATCTCTGACTGTAGGGAAAAGGTTAAGTTCTCCTAGAGAGCAAAGCAGATCCTCTCCAGTGTCTATCCTCAAGAGCCTGGCGAGTCTCACCACACACAGGAAGACAGCTGAGGCCTGATGGCCCAGCTCAGTAGCTATAACCAGGACAAAAAGGATTATAATGGTAACAAACCAACCAACCAACCTTCTCCAAGACAGCCAGGGCTGTTACACAGAGAAACCTGGTCTCGAAAAAACAAGAAACAAAAACAAAACCATATCTCTATAGCAGATGAGTGTGGTAACACACACTCATTATTCTAGCACACACAGACTTCTACTTACATAGCTAGTTCTGGTATCTGTTCATCATACCTCTGAAATATCATAGGTAAACACATACTGTCAACTTTCCAAGAGGAAAAGGATTTTTCTTTCCTTCTTTTTTAATTAATTCTAGTTAGTTAGTTAGTTGTTAGTTAGTTAGTTAGTTATGGAGGCAGGCTCTCTCTACATAGCCCTGGCTGTCCTGAAACTCACTCTAGATAAGAATGGCCTCAAACTCACATAGATCTGCCTGCCTTTGCCTCCCCAGTGCTAGGATTGAAGGTGTGTGTTACCCTGCCCAGCCTGGAGAGCCATTTTCAAGGGGCTGAGTGCAGGATAGTAACTCCAGGCTCTGGTGAGACCCTAGCACTGTCAACAAGCTTACAAACTTACTATAACCCAACTAAGAGCAAACACCATTTCCTGCATCTTGATCAAAGGACAGCGCTAGCAGGCAGCATCAGAACGGTGCTGTGGTGATAGCCAAGCCCTAGACAGCAAGCACACCTTTACAGTAGTCATTGGGGTCCTCCTGCTCATCATCGTCAGACCCCAGAATCTCCTCCTCCTGATCAGGGATGTCGCTCTCGGAGTGCGGTGCAGAGCCTCGGTGCTGAGTTTCAGGCCTAAGAAACAGTAACATGTTCACTCCATATGGACAACAACAAAAAAGAGGACCTTAAGAAATGCCATCGCCAGACCCCCACATCAACATCAGAGGCAGCCTCAGAAAGTGGTAACTAGTACGCCCACAGGAACTAAGAGCTGAGAAATACATCAAAGTATCAATAACCAAATAACTGCTGAGAAAGCTACTACATTTCCTTCACCTTGCAGTTTTTTTTCTTTCTTTCTGTTTTGTTTTTTTCTTTGTTGTTGTTGTTTTGTTTTTCGAGACAGTGTGTAGCCCTGGCTGTCCTGGAACTCACTCTGTAGACCAGGCCAGCCTCGAACTCAGAAAGCCGCCTGCCTCTGCCTCCTGAGTGCTAGGATTGAAGGCGTGTGCCACCAGTGCCTGGCTCACCTTGCAGTTTTTAAAAAATTAATTATATGTAAATATTTTTACACACTCCAGAAACAAATTTGTTCCCTGGTTCTACACCGGCCATCAAGTCATCCCGGAGGTGGCTTTCCCTGAACTTGTCCTGGTGTTCTAGGCAGAGGTTTCTGAGTTTCCCTTCTGACCAAGCTCTCTGTGCAGTTGGGTCCTAACACCTCAAGCTGCATGCCATGCAGGGGTTCACCTCAGACAGCACAACTGACTCCAAACTTGTGGGATCAAGCCTTCTCCCTGTTCCAGCCTGAGTGCCTGTAACAACTGTCTCAAGTCACTGCACTGACGCAGCTTTAATAGCTATAGAATAAAAAAACTTAGTTATCCTTTTTAAAATATGGAGTTTCCTTTTCAATGATCTGTTTGATTACATCGTTGTTGCTTTTTTTTCTTGAAAGACACTAACAGGGAAAAAAGTTGAATAAAAAAACTGGTTGCACGCTATCGACACAAAAGCACCTTAGTGGGCATTATTGCTAATTTAGGTTTTTGGTGGTCAGTCCAATTTTTCTCAATTCTTGGCTTCTTTCTTCTGAAGCACACACAGAAAAATAAAACACCCGCATGCATACTGTCAAAGCATTCAGAAGTAAGTAGGCTCCCTTCCCTCACTCTAAGTGGGGTTCAGGGATTAAACTCAAGTCAGGCTAGACAATAGGCACCTCTAACCTTGAAAGAGGAAGTGGAAAAAGTAAACACTAAGAATGTTCAGAAACTCCACAGGAAAGTAGATATTATACATTTTGCTACCTCTTACAGTTCAGATAACAAAGACTGCAACTATGAAATTTTTAAAAATTAGTGAGGGCTGGAGAGATGGCTCAGTGGTTAAGAGTACTGACTGCTCTTCCAGAGGACTGAGTTTAATTCCCATCAACCACATGGTAGTTCATAGCCAGCCATCTGTAATGTGATCTGATACCTTCTTCTGCTGTGTCTGAAGAGTGTGTATTTATTTAGAAAGAATCCTATAAGCACCATGGGAATAATGATCAGAATTATTCTTAGAAGAAAATGATTCCTGAGCAGAACTTGACTAACAAGACTGAGCCAAGTTCCACAGTCAGTTACAGAACTCAAGCCAGGGCTTCCAAGAGCCCTGACTGCCATTCCAGAGAACCCCACTCAATTCCCAGCACCCACGACAGCTCACAACTGTCTCTAACTCCAGTTCCAGGGGACCCCATACCTGCACACAGACATACACGCAGCCAAAGCAACAATGCACATAAAATAAAAGAGACCATTAAAAAAAAGTAAAGGATTCAAGACTCAGCATAAAAATCATCCAGTAATGCCAAGTCCAAGTGTCCGAGTACAGGTGTGGAGAGTGCGTCCACAGTGCCCTCAGTGCGCACGCTCGCTCTCCCTCCCTCCCTTCCTTCACTCATCTGCATCTGCACTCTTAGTCATGTTTGAAGAACAGGAGCTAAATGAAGATGTCCTCAAATCTTTATTTTAGCTTTCTACTCGACTGTCAGTCTATAAAATACATTGATCTGTAGTCTCCTGAGTCTAAAAGAGGGCTGAGCCTTCTTGCATCTTGCCACAGCCTCCTTCTGGAGGCTGGAGTACAGGACTCAATGAAGTCCAGGTGCTTGTCTCACTAAGTACCCAGGCCCCTTTGAGAGCTGAGGAAATGGCTTCTATTTCATGAAGAGATCGGTCAGTTGTGAGACTCCCCCGCAGCTGTCTTACTAGACTGGGCGGTCACTGCTCCACCATCTACATCCTCTCCAGCGATCTGCTTCTCCCCCTTAGGGCTGTCTTCCTAGTATTTCAGTCACCCATCTCACAGGCTCCGGCACTGTTTCCATGACTCCCCCTCCCCCCCCCCCCGTTTCCTATTTCTAGGAACTCCTGCACTGCCTCAGAATTCATGTATACAGTGTTCTGCCTGCATGCATGCCTGCAGGTCAGAAGAGGGCAACAGACCTCATTACCGCCATGGTTGTGAGTCACCCTGTGGTTACTGGGAATTGAACTCAGGACCTCTGGAAAAGCAGATAGTGCTATTAACCACTGAGCCATCTCTCCAGCCCCTGCCTTAAATTCTAAAATCATTTAAGATTTTTATAAATGCCTCCACATTACACCAAAGAACACCACACAATTAAGAAAAGCTTTTCTCATAAAAAGACAAAACCATAGTGGAAAGAGAAACCAAGGCCCTGCATAGATGTGTTGACATGGCACCCGAGTCCCCACACCACTCACATACCCACACAGTGGGTATGAAGTATTAAACAACACAAACCCACTCTACTTCCTTATCACTTCAAAACAATAGCCACAGCGAATAAAACATTCCCTTTCAGCAGTGAAGAGGGCGGCCTGGGTAAAGGGCTGGGTGAGGAGGGTCTATCTGAACACTGGATGAGTTCACCCTAATTCCCAACTACATTCTTTCAAATTTCAGTCAAATTAATAGTTAAAAGGCTCAGCGGTTAAGAGCACTAACTAACTGCTCTTCCAGAGGTCCTGAGTTCAATTCCCAGCAACCACATGGTGGCTCACAACCATCTGTACTGGGGTCTGATGCCCTCTTCTGGTGTGTCTGAAGAGAGCAATGGTGTACTCATATACATAAAATCAATAAATAAATCTTAAAAAAAGAAAGGCCATGAATATGAGATAGTAAGAACGGAGTGTATACATGGGAGAGGTTGGAGGAAGAAAATGGGAAGGAGAAAATCAAATTTCAAAAATAAAAACAATTTTAAGATTAAGACATGTACATGTTTTAACACGAAATAAAATTAAAGAAAAATTAAAATAAAGCATATCCTAAAACTAATACAGATAAAAAATCAGCCCAACTATATATTGGTAAAATAATCAAGAACATACAATTCAATTAATTTTTGGGTACAATTCTCCAACTGTGCACTTCCAAGTTGATTACCTGAGGACTACTGGACACCAAGAAGCCTTGAACTCAGGCTACCTGGTGCTGGTACTTACATCTAATGCAGTAAGTAAGCTAAAGACAATTTGCATTGAAAACACCACACACTACAAACAGATGATGTTTAAAAGAAGTAGGGTGCACACCCAATATGTCTGTCTTCCAGACATACCGAAAGGGCATAGAGACAATGGAGCCCTGGTTTCTGTGTCAGTTGGGCAGTCCCTTGGAGATCTGGGAGATTATTATCTGGGACAGGAAAGGCATGCGGTGAGCTTAGATAGTTAACAAGAGTTGAAAGGCTAAGAAACATGACTAAACTTAAGGTCTGACTCATGCTAACAAAGATGCTAGAAAGGATGTGGACACACCATGTGCTGTGCCCAACTAGTAAACACAAGACTTCGGGCTTAATCTTGCCGACTCTTGCAGTGATGATGGTATCATGGTCCTGACAGGGTGACACAATCCTACTCAAGTCATTAGGGTGCTACGTCATGATCTCTACAACTTTTAAATGGTACAACAAAAAAGTGACCACCTAGTCAGCTTTACTCATGAAGACACAGATCAGGTACCACCCAAATGATCATGAAAAGATGAATCAGGGCAACAAAAGCTACCAATGTCAGTCAGGGTCTCTGTTCACTCAAAGACAGCAACTACAAAACACATTACATGGAGATTCCAAAGAATGAGGCAACTTCTGAAGCCGTTGTCCTTTGTCATAGGTATTCATAGATGCAAATGCTGACAAAACCTCCAGAAGTTTTACACTTCAAACACATACACACACACACACACACACACACACACACACACACACACACACACACAGAAATAAGAGGAAAAATGTCAGCAATTAGTGAATATGAGAAATTACAGGCACTTATAATCAAAGAAATTTAAATACTGAGATGCTATTTTTTTCACAAATCAGAATGTAAAAATGAGCAACATTTTCTTTTGTGAGCATGCCAACACCCAAGTGTGACTGGGGACATCCATGGCAGGTGTGTGGACATCAGAAGGCAACTTTCAGGAGTTGGTTCTCTCCTTCAACCATGTGAACTCTGGAGACAGACCTCAGACCAACATGGATGGCAGCAGGAACCTTCACCTGCTGAGCCATCTTCCCAGCCCCAACATGTTTGCACAGGACGCGTGCACGGACTCAAGCTACACTTTAAACAAGGCAACACTTAATCACAAATATTACTGTGAGGGTTTATATATGCTCAGCCCAAGGAGTGGCACTATTAAGAGGTGTAGCCCTGTTGGAGTAGGTGTGTCACTGTGGGCGTGGGCTTTAAGACCCTCATTCTAGCTGCCTGGAAGTCAGTCTTCTCCTAGCAGCCTTCAGATGAAGATGTAGAACTCTCAGCTCCTCCTGCACCATGCCTGCCTGGATGCTGCCATGTTCCTGCCTTGAAGATAATGGACTGAACCTCTGAACCTGTAAGCCAGCCCCAATTAAATGTTGTCCTTATAAGAGTTGCCTTGGTCATGGTGTCTGCTCACAGCAGTAAAACTCTAAGACAATCAGACATTACATTCAACTGAGCTCAATCACAGTGGCCATTGCCCACAATTTCTTACCCAGTTTCACTCCACTGCTGAGCAAGCCATCTCTCTGCACTCCACTCCACATGCCTTCGACAACG